TTTTCACAGCTGCATAGTTTTCCATGTACCCTAGATTTTTTATCCACTTATCTACTGAGGAGCACTTGAGTTGTTTCCAGATCTTAGCTATTGTAAATTGTGCAGCTATAAACACAGGGGTGCATATATTCTTTCTGATTGGTGTTTCGGGTTTCTTAGGATATATTCCTAGAAATGGGATCAAATGGAAGTTCCATATTTAAGTTTTAAGGAATCTCCATACTGCTTTCCCTAGTGGCTATACCGATTTATAATTCCACCAACAGTTCACAAGGCTTTCCTTTTCTCCACATCCTCGCCAACACTTATCTTTTGTTGTTCTGATAACAGCCATTCTAAAAGTGTGAGGTGATATATCATTGTGGTTTTAATTTTCATTTCCCTAATTACTAGTGAAGTTGAGCATTTTTTAATGTACCTGTTAGCCATTTGTATGTCTTCTTTGGAAAAAATGTTTATTCAGGTCCTCTATCCCATTTTTAAATTGAATCATTTGGGGATTTTTTTGTTTGTTTTTGTTTTGTTTTGTTTTGCTATTGAGTTGTATGAATTTCTAAATGGTCTTTTAACTTTTGTTAAATTTTCTTTTCTGTTTTTAAATGGGTCATTTGTTGATTGCCTTGAGAAAGAAGAGACATCTGTGGGAGTGGGAGGATGTAGAAAAGGCTATAGGGGTGATAAATGGTGATGGAAGGAGACTTGACTTGGGGTGGTGAGCACACATACTATACAGATGATGCATTATAGAACTGTACATCTGAAACCTATATAATTTTATTAACCAATGTCACCCCAATAAATTCAATAAAAATAAAAATAGAAGCCCTAGCCAGCTTGGCTCAGTGGATAAAGTGTCAGCCTGCGGACGGAAGGGTCCCGGGTTCGATTCTGGCCAAGGGCACATACATGCCTGGGTTGTGGGCTTGATCCCCAGTGGGGGGCAAGCAGAAGGCAGCTGATCAATGATTCTCTCTCATCATTGATGTTTCTATCTCTCTCTCCTCCCTTTCTCTCTGAAATCAATAAAGAAATATATTAATAAATAAATAAAAATAGAAGAGACATCTGTGTTTTTATTTAGTCTTTTAAAATTCTCAGATACAGCTTTAAGAAAAACTTAAGCATCCTATCTAATAATAGAGAAACATGCTAATTAGCCATACCTCCGCTACCCTTCCCATTGGCCAATCAGGGCGATATGCAAATTAACTGCCAACCAAGATGGCGGCCAGCAGCCAGGCAGCTTGAAGC